TGTGTTGGTTTTAGTGTTACAGTGGTTGGTACTACTACTGATGTTGGTTTTAGTGTTACAGTGGTTGGTACTACTACTGATGCTGGTTTTAGTGTTACAGTGGTTGGTACTACTACTGATGCTGGTTTTAGTATTACAGTGGTTGGTACTACTACTGATGTTGGTTTTAGTGTTACAGTGTTCTTCTATTTAACCGCAGAATCTTCTACATAATGTAATCAATATCCGTTCAGGGCAGGATTCTAACCAACGTTTTCCGTGGAAGCACCTGAAAGGGTTAGCAAGGTAAGGAGAAAGACTGGAGCCCATAGCCACTGTTCATCGTTAAACATCAAATATGATTAAAACATCTTTTGTTATACCCTGTACAATGTAATTCTCAGCAAACACAAACATCCACAATTTCGTCTGTTATAAGCACAATGATAATCATCACTGTAAACTGTATCAGTTTTAGGTTACTCATAAGTTCAAAAGCATGAAACATCTTACAAATGGTTGATCACAGGTGCCTACACTGGAAACCATAATCACCTTATTATTTTATAGATGATGAACAAACAGATGAAATGGGGATCAACTGCTTAGTTCAGTATGACGCTCGTGGGGAAAATCTTGACATATCGAAAGTATTTCGTCATCACGTCAGAAATCTTCCAAAACGTCGCCCTTTCCATGTGTGCCACGACTTTCTCCATCAGTGTCACTTTGAACGAGGCAGTTGCTACCAAATTCACCTTGTCATCATTCAGGATCAGCACATCGTCCCAGACCAGCATAACAATACATATCCTGTAACTTGTCATCCTAATAACTTGATTCTTTTTTAGACTCTTGTTTCTCTACAGAAGTTTGGTGTTTTTCCACCTGATTTTTTATTTAGATCTTAAAAATATATAAATTTAGTCTACTGTGTCACATTTCTTTATACTTTCCGCTAAGCCTACCTGAGTTGATTTCAGTAACTTACTTCCGATTTTCCAGGTTGTAGATTACAGCTCCTACTCAGGATACGGTCAGACCGGATATCCTTACTATCCTAATCAAAGTTACGGGGCTTATTTACCTACTGTAAGCGGTAAATCAACGTTAGGACTGACCGGCTCATCTTCCGGAACATATCAACTTTCATCTCTTCCTGCTCTTATAAATGGAGGTAAGTACAAAAACCTGTCAGGTGGTTTTCAGTTTGCTCACCAAATAGCGATACCTTTGGAAACGGAAAGAAAAACCAGTTTTAAGTTTTGAAAATAAAAATTTATAATATCAGCTCGGAGTTAAAACACAGATATAGTCAAAAGACCCCAAGAAACTGGTATAGAAGAATTTGGTTAAGGAAAGTAACACTCTAGTCATTAGGACACTGGGGCACACGAACACTCTGGCCATCAGGCCACTTGTGGTAGATATCATGTCATGACTACTTTCACTGGTTCATATTACGTTCTAAACCAATATTCCATTTCTAACCCAACATAACGTGTAAACTTGTTCATATTCCGTTCTAAACCAGATGTAACGTTTAAACTGGTTCATATTCCATTTTTAACCCAACATAACGTGTAAACTTGTTCATATTCCGTTCTAAACCAGGTATAACGTTTAAACTGGTTAATATTCCATTTTTAACCCAACATAACGTGTAAACTTGTTCATATTCCGTTCTAAACCAGGTGTAACGTTTAAACTGGTTAATATTCTATTTTTAACCCAACATAACGTGTAAACTTGTTGATATTACGTTCTAAACCAGATGTAACGTTTAAAATGGTTAATATTCCATTTTTAACCCAACATAACGTGTAAACTGGTTCATATTACGTTCTCAGCCCGATGTAACGTTTAAACTGGTTAATATTACGTTCTCAGCCCGATGTAACGTTTAAACTGGTTCATATAAATGTAAATGAGCTATTAATATAATATGACGTCATCTTTACCATTTATTACACGATCTACAATAACTTGGTTTTGTTTTGTCACTAAGGAACTGACCAAAGAAATTTAATGACGTCACTCATTTTCTATATAAAATACGTTCGGGACACCAGGAATAATTAATAAGATTAGTTAGAAAGTCGATGGTATTTTTTATCACATCTCTGTGTGTGTGTGTGTGACTAATTATGTTATAGTATTCAAAGCGTCGATGGACCCAACCAGAATTGTAGAATTAAACACTTATAACCTTGTTGTATGTGTTTCATTTCTGTTCTTTACATGGTCCGGTAGTGGCTAGCATTGTGAATCCGAGGATTCATGGTTGTCAGCCCGTTGATGTAAAAGCGCTCTCCGCATTTTAGAGCCTTGGATACGTTATAAGAGTAACGGTCAATCCCACTATTCGGTCTGACAAGAGTAGCCCAAGAGTTGGCGGCGGGTGCTGTTGATTAGTTGTCTTCCTTCTTGTCTATCAGTTCAAAGTTATGGATGGCTATGCGTAGATGGCACTTGTATCGTTTTACGGGGAAATTAAAACTAAAAAACAAGATGTTTTTCATACTCGGTCAGAAATTTAAAATCTTATTTTGTTTCAATAAAGATATCTATGTAAAATTGTACCTACTTTGTCTTTTCGTTCTCTCGCGTTCCGCCTATCTAGTTGTCTGTCTATCCATAAATTTGTCAACCTTTCTACAAAGTTGTTCATTAATATTACTTTATCATACTTATTCTGTTTCTAGCCTTCTTGTTTCTCACTTCTTTTTGTTTTCTGTCGTGAACAATCAGTAGTAACCAATATCAGATGTACTTGATGTTCACCACTAGCGACCTCTATAAACAGACAACGTGATATACAGTGTAACAATTAGTAGTAACCAATATCCGATGTACTTGATGTTCACCACTAGCGACCTCTATAAACAGACAACGTGATATACAGTGTAACAATCAGTAGTAACCAATATCCGATGTACGTGAAGTTCACCACTAGCGACCTCTATAAACAGACAATGTGATATACGGTGTAATAATTAGTAGTAACCAATATAAGATGTACGTGATGTTCACCACTAGCGACCTCTATAAACAGACAACGTGATATACGGTGTAACAATCAGCAGTAACCAATATCCGGTGTACTGAACGTAATGTTCACCACTAGCGACCTCTATAAACAGACAACGTGATATACGGTGTAACAATCAGTAGTAACCAATATCCGATGTACGTGATGTTCACCTCTAGCGACCTCTATAAACAGACAACGTGATATACAGTGTAACAATTAGTAGTAACCAATATCCGATGTACGTGAAGTTCACCACTAGCGACCTCTATAAACAGACAATGTGATATACGGTGTAATAATTAGTAGTAACCAATATAAGATGTACGTGATGTTCACCACTAGCGACCTCTATAAACAGACAACGTGATATACGGTGTAACAATCAGCAGTAACCAATATCCGGTGTACTGTACGTAATGTTCACCACTAGCGACCTCTATAAACAGACAACGTGATATAAAGTGTAACAATCAGTAGTAACCAATATCCGATGTACGTGAAGTTCACCACTAGCGACCTCTATAAACAGAAATTATCATATTTAGCGATTACACAGGCCTGCGAATTTAAACTTCATAAAAGTTGTTTTAATTTTAATAACGGATTTTCCATA